GGAGGGAGGTCTACCCATGACGCAACACTTACATGGACGGTGGCACACAACAGATTGTAGTGTCATCCTCCCAGAAAAACTTCTGTTCAAAATGCATCAAACTACTCACATGGGAACTAGAAAGATGCAGGATCGAATACGGAATGCAACCATCACAATCAAGGATGTCGCATCTAAGATCACAAAAATTGTTGCCGGCTGTAAAGCATGTCGGTTGACTGGTGCGAATCAGAATCCTGCTTACCCTGACTCCAGGCTATGCAGACATAGGCCAAGAGCCTATTGGGAAACTGACTTTACTGAGGTAAAACCTGGCAGGTGTGGATATAAATATTTGTTGGTTTTTATAGATACTTTTTCAGGCTGGGCAGAAGCCTCCTCCACCAAGCATGAGACTGCACAGATCATGGCAAAGAAAATACTTGAGGATATCCTGCCCAGGTATGGCTTTAATAGGATCAGACAATGGACCACCTTTTGAGCCTAAGGTAAGTCAGGGTTTGGCAAAAGTTCTCGGGGCAGATTGGAAGTTGCACTGTGCTAATAGCTCCCAAAGTTCAGGACAAGTGGGGAGAATGAATAGAAGATTAAAAGGGACCTTAACTAAATTAACCTTAGAGACTGGGGGTGTCTCTTCTCCCCTGTGCCCTGCACAGGGTACACAACACCCCTTATAAAATTGGAATAACTCCTTTTGAAATTATGTTTGGGGTGCTGCCCCCATTATTCCTATCTATCCTACAGTCTGAGACGTTAACTGAGTTTGAAGATCATAATCTCATTTCTTCCCGCCAACCCCTGAAAAGGGCCCACAAGCACATCTGGCTGAAACTGAGGGCCCACTATGAGCCTGGCCCATCACCTGACCCACACAAATGCCAGCCTGGCGATTGGGTCTATGTCCGAAGATGTCAATAAGAGAACTTTGAACTTAGCTGGAAGGGACCTTACTTCGTGATTCTAACAACACCCACCGTACTCAAGGTTGACAGAACTGCCTCGGGTCCACAACACCCCAGTGGGACCAGCTGACCCTTTTGGAGAAGACTTTCTGTCAGAATGGCAGGCAACACCCAACAACGACAATCTACTAAAACTCAGGTTTAAATGCATAGGGTCATAATAATTCTTTTACTTGTCCAAGCAGAGGGAGATACTACTCCACATACTCCCTATAACCTTACCTGGAGATTATAGATGCAAATACAGACACACACACACACACATAGAAATACAGATCTAATATTCCAGCTCTAGATCAGATCTCCCATGTCCACCCTCAAAATACTTGATATCCTGACCTGATAATAGACCTAAAAGACCTTATTCCAACCACATGGAATGGGAATGTTTGGCATGTGCAAAACCACTTTTATGTTTGCTCTGGCCATACGAAATACTTGGATAAAACTTGTGAGGGGAGGGGAGTCTTATTTTTGTGCCTCCTGGTCCTGTGGTCTACAGAAAATATCGGGTGGGTTGCCCCCAAAGAAAGATGATCTAATCACTGTAGCTAGAAACGGCTACAGCGATTGTGGTCGATTGAGATTGGGAACAAAATGTGATCCTGTATGGATAAGCTTCACTCCTAAGGGAAAAACAGCCACAGGATGGGAATTAGGAAAAACTTGGGGAATTCACATATAAGAAAAACCATGATCATGTCAGGACCCTGGATGATTGTTCACCATCCAGTTAAAATCATTACTCCCTAACAATAAAAATTTTGGCCCTAAGGCAGTTGGGCTCAACAAAGTATTAACCTCCTCCCATGCCAACTCACATGGTTGAAACTCCAGGATTAAGTCAGGCTGCGCTCCGGCCGACAGTCACTGCTTTGTCCAGGGAGAGAGTAACCCTACCTGGAATCTACTTGCCAGAATTTATCAAGTTTTAAATGCCGCTAGACCAGATCTTACGATTCCTTTGGTTACGTCTAGATGTTCAACCCCCTTATTATGAGGGAATTGCTACGGAGGGAAACAATTCCCTATCTGTGGAAGTAACTGTTTGCCGATGGCAACAATCAGGAGGTCCCCGTGAGACCCTTCAGTCAATGTTGGGCACAGGTCTACGTACAGGACATGTTTCTCCTGATCTCCAGCACTCATGCAATGCTACTGCTTCTCAGACCCCTAAAGAACAAAGTTATCCTGTACTCCCTGAGAATGGCTGGTGGGCCGGGGACACTGCATTGTCCCCTTGTGCACGCACTCAAGTCGTCACTTAGGCTAAAGAGTTCTCTATCTTAGTCCAATTAATTCCCAAATTAATTTATCATCCTGGAAATGAAATTTGTCAAAAGTTAGAAACCATCCATTCCAGAGCTAAAAGAGAACCTTTAGTGGCCATAATGCTGTCAGTAGTGCCAGGATTAGGAGGCCTGGCAGGAGACAGAACAGGAATACCAGCACTGGTGTTACAAGATAAAAACTATCAAGCTTCTAGGACTGCTGTAGATGTGGACATAGAATGAATAGAAACATCCATTTCTCATTTGCAGGATTCCCTACCTGAAGTACTATTGCGAAACAGGAGAGGACTAGATCTGCTTTTCATGAAACAAGGGGGTTTATGTACAACATTAGAAGAAGGATGTTGCTTTTATGTTGACCACTCAGGGGTAGTCAAAGAATCTATGGCCCTGGTAAGGGAAGGCTTATGAAAACGAAAGCTTCAGAGAGAACAAAATCAGTCTTGGTTTGAGTAAATGTTCAGTGGGTCCCCCTGGTTGACTATCCATCCTAATTTCAGCATTAGTAGGGCCTCTGCTTATATTACTACTTTTATTCATACTTGGTCCTTGTATGATCAATAGGTTAATAACTTTTATTAGAGGACGAATTTGTGTCATACACATGTTGGTGCTTAGATTTCAGTATCAACCTCTAAATCTAAATTAGGAAGAAATAGAGCTCTACTTGACCCCATGATTGAAGAGAGGAAATGGAGAGCCTGAACATAACAGACTCCATTTTGTCCCTGGCCTTCATCTTATATGTGACCTAAAACTTACCCCAGCTTCAGAAAAACATGTTTATACTTTCAGAAAACTACAACATTTCTGAGAATGACCACACAATGTGCCAGTCCTGAAACCAGCCAATCAGAAAACAGGTCAAAATGACCGTTGTCCTTGTGGTTACTAAAACAATTACATGTTATCATCATGGTTACCAAAATAGTTATACTCCAGATGCTCCCAGCTTGCCTCTGACCAATCACTATGTAACAAGCTTGTTCTTGCTAAATGTCACCCAATCATGTAACTGCCAAGTCTGGAAGCCCCTTCCCCTTGCTAAAAACCCTATAAAACTTAGCTTCTTTCTAAGCTTGGGGCTCCTAGCCTCTGGCTGCTGTGACAGTTCATGCTGGGAATCAGAGCTTAAGCCCGAATAAAGGCTCTTTGCTTTTGCATACGTTTTCTAACTCCTGGTATTGTTGGTGGTCTTTTGGGGGTCTCGTGGACTGGGTACAACAACAGATGACATTTGCCTGTTCGAGAATTCCAGGTATTAGTTAGAAGATCACTTTAAAAAAATTCCTGTTTGGAGAAATGATATAGAAGACTTGTAAGTATGTGAATAACAAAATAATGGTACATTAAAATTGTTTTTAATGAAAAATAAGTACCACAATTTAAAAATATGTGGAAGTCTAAAATGATAATGGTTCTATAGTGTTGCATAAAAGTCTTGTTAAGATTATGGTTAGACTAGAAATTTATCATTTGTCATTTGATAAGGACCAAAACATTGCATGATATTTAAATGAACAGACTAAGTTCTATCAAAACTATCTACGTAGATTTTCCTGGGATACAGTACTGCTTTATTTTACTTTTGAAGCATGATTCCTTTGGTCCAGACTGTCCTGGAACTAATTTTGTTGTCTAGGCTGGCATGGAACTCAGTTTTCTCCTCTTGCTTCAACCAGCTCCCATCTCAGGTTAAAAGCTACCATTTTCCCATCATCACTCCCAAAGAAAAGTGTAAACAAACCATTGTTTGACCTGGCTCTTTGTCTATAAATTATAAAAGTGATCCTTACTATTCCCAGTGTACCCTCTTCTAGGTACTAGCTTTTTTCCAAGGCACTTTATGTTTGCTCTATTTGAACTGCTTTTTTAATTTTTTTTTTTTTTTAAATATGGTTTACTATATTCTGCCTAAAGGAGTAACGTGGGGCTTCCATAAAGCAAAATTCGTTTTCAGGTTCTGTGGTCCACTCTCCACCTTCCCTTTCTTCTTAGCCAGAGCTGGACTTGGGCAGCCACACGGTGGGGAGGCTGGAGAGTTTCACGGGCCGCTACTTATTAAACATAACAGGTGACTTGTAAAAGGTTTCCTTGGGCCAAAAAGGGAAATGCAGAAGAGTAGAGGACGCTCCCATCGGAGAACGCAGCAGACAGCAAACAGGGAGGGCGGGGCCACTCCGAAGCAGCAGACGGCGAAACGCCGGAGCCGGAAAGGAGGGCCTCGGGGGCGTGGCCAAACCGGACGTAGGCGGGCCCGATATGGGCGGGTCTGGATCTGGATGTGCCGGAGTGGGCGTGGTCCTAGTGGGCGTGTCAGCTGGGCGCGGGAGGGCAGGATTGGCTGGCTCGGGAAGTGGCACAGCGCAAGGGCCCATGGGAGAAGCGCCCTGTGACCCGGGCGGAGGACAGTGTCTGTTGACAAACGTGTCCAAGTTGTAGTGAACAGGTGAGGGGAGGAAGGCAGTGTCTGCGGAAGAGCTGTGTGAGAACCCTTTCGTCCCGCCCCACGCCCGTGAGAGGACTTGTTTGACCCGCTCCCGTGGGTCTACCCCTTCCACCGAGCCCCGACATTCCCGCCTCAGGGCCTGTGTGAAGATGGTGAAGAGCGTCCGCCCCGGCGCGCCAGCCCGCGAAGCCCGAGGGCACGCGGCGACCGGCCCCGTGCGCATGCGCGCCGGCCGGGGCGGGGCGTGTCCCGCCACAAGCTGGAGGCGGGGCCTGGTCGGAGCGCCGCGCTCGCGGCCTGACGTCGTTGAACGCCGGCCCGTGACGTCACCCCGCCGTGACGCGTACGCAGTGGGAAAACTGTAAGTTTGCGAGGATCCTGCGGCTTCCTGGCTTGCGGGGCTCGCGGGGCCTGCCGGCCGCTCGCTGCCGCGGTTGCGGTGTGGGCCGCGGCGGCCGGGAGCCGCCGAGCGCGACGCCCCAAGTGGCAGCGCGTCCTCCCGGCAGCGCCGGCTCCTGGAGGCGAGGCCCCTCCTGAGCCCGGCCGGCTCCTTTCCCGCTGGCCTGTGACAGCCGAGAGCGGGCGGTTAAGGCCTGGGAACCGGGAAGTGCCGAGGCCCTTCGTAAAATTCGTTGATAGATTAGGTCCCGAGACTCCAATCTCATCCTGCAGTAGGACATGCTCGGTCAGTCTGGGGTGGAGAGCCTCCTCAAAGACTAAGCTGCCCTGTGCCCGTCTTCCCTTTGGACACAAATGCCCAGATCGCTGATGACAAATGACATGCTGTGTTGCCCCAAGCTTCTTTATTTTCCTCTCCGTAGGGCCACAATGCCTTGAGACCCTGTGAGCTAAGCCAAGCCATGTTACACAACACTTAGGACAACATTGATTATTCTGAGGAGTGTGGTGATCCATTTGTAAGGATCTAAGGGCTTTGCCTGGTCTCCACACCTCCTACCGCAACCCACCTGATCATGGCTTTGGAACCTGAAGCTATCTTAGCTGTTTTGTATTGACTGATCAGGAATCAAGAAATAACCGGTATCACTATCACAGAGATCTTGGCAATGCATGTTCTCCCTGTCTGGCTTTTATAGAAAAATGTTTTTAGCAGCCCAGAATTAGTACGTTATACTCAACACAAGTACATAGGATCAGCCCATCTGCTTACATGGTTTAGCTAACTTGTATTAGGGATGAGTGAGTTGGTCACAGCATTGTAACCCTTCTCAAACTCTGGGTCAAGGACTTGTCAGGAACTGTGAAAGGAATACACACACCCTGGGATGGATTTATACAGTAGATTAGGAGGCCACATTTCTGTGAATTTAGTGGAGGATATAATATCCTGACAGAGGGCCCTTTGAATCAAGGCTTCTGAGTGTTGCTCTCCTGTTAGTAGCTTTCGAAAAACAAGTCACCTAACTCTTAGAGCTTTTTAAAAATCTGTCTCTAAAATGGGAGGTGCTAGTGTAGCTTGTTCCTTTTACAAGGGTTAAATGAGACCATAGTCAACTTTCTAAGTATGGCATTGCCGTCTGCATCAGACCCCACCCAAGATGAGCTCTCAGGTTCTGAGTCAGAGCTAGAAATAGAGGGGCAAAGGCAAAGAAGACAGCCAAGCCTGCACCCTAGTGGGGTTCACAGTACCGTGGAGAAGTAGACACAGGAATGGTCACGTAAGGTTATTTCACACGGGGTGAGTTCAGTGGAGTAAAGGAAGAGGATGGTGAAGGACAGTGAATGTGGTTTTAAATAGTCTGTGAGGGAAGGCTGTTCACAGGAGGGGCAAGTGAGTTGTTCTGAGGTGTGTGTGCGTGTGTGTGGGGTGGCATTCAAGCTCCTTGGGAGGCTGAGGCAGGAGAAGCTCAAGTTCCAGGACTGCTTTGGGTGCGGATCGACTCGAGGCCCACAGGGAAGAAACAGGGCTGAGGAATATAGAGCTCAGTGACAGAGCTCTGGCCCTGAGTTCTGTCTCTAGTTGGGAGTGGTTGATGGAGATAGTATAGCCATCTGGCCTGTTAAGCTTACCATATGCATGGTACAGTTCTAAACACTAATTTTTACCACCACCTTTGAAGTTTAGAAAAATACTTCCAGTTTTGTAGATTAGGACACTGGCACATGTTAGACGTGTGCTCAAGCTAAAAAGCCTAAGAGACTCAAAGTCTTGTATATTTTACTAAATTTGCATTAGGTTTCTTTGGTACTGCTGTATTTTTTTTACCATTTGAATTTAGGTCATCTGCTTTGAGAGGCCACTTTCCAAATTACTGTTCTTCTGTCTCAGAACATAGTAAGGAGAGAGAAGGAAAAGTGTTGGTATGTAACCTTGAACCATCTGGCAGGCTGTGGTGGGATCCTGGAGTCAGGTAGACACATCACTCCTAAGTGTAATAGACAGTCTGCGCCATGGGATGGCATCTGTTTTCTTCTTCACTCCAGGAGAATTGACTGTAGAGTCAGAGAGAGGTGGAGGGATCCTGACACTGAGGAGGTAGTAGGTTGTGCTGTGCTGTGGCCTTGAGAGGCAAAGGGAGCTGGCTTAAGTCAAGTAGAAGGGCAGGGCCCCTGACTACTTCTCTCAGGTCCCTACCCATTGGATGGTCTGTGAGTGTTAGGGTGGGATTCACACCCAAGTGCTCTGGCTTTGGAGTCCATGCAGATTAGTCTCTACCTACGTCATGTGGACATGTTGAGTATATATGAAGTGACTGTGGCCACAGGTGGAAACGCATATTTTTGAAGAGACAGACTACTTTTATTCCTTTATAAACCTTGGTTGATAATAAGAAGCAAGAGAAGGAGATTTACATGGCAAGACTATGCTAACTGGTTCTTCCCTATCAGATTGAATGTCTACAGCTGACATCACTCTTCTGTGTCTGGACTCCACAGTGTGGGTTCAGTGCAGCTGAGGTTTCTGTCTTGTTCACATCTGTCTCTAACCTCCTTCCATTGCCTGTCATTCATGGCTGGCGAGAGTAACTTTACAGGAAGGGTATTGGTTAGGTTTGGGGAATTGGGAGATGAATAAACATACTTCTCTTTCTGGAGGAGCATAGCATGAGGAAAACCTGTGGGAATAGAATTAGAGTAGAATAAATGCATAATACATGCTGATTACTTCATTCTGGCTTCCCACACCCCTTTCCCCTGTCCCACACTTGAGAGATGGGGTGTGAAAAGGGCAAAGGAGCAAAAGAAGGCCTACGCAAATGCATGATGGATTGGAAGCTCCCCAAGAGTCCTTTTGAACAAAAGAACTACTCAGAGCCTACTACTCAAAGTCTTGCATATTTTACTAAATTTGCATTAGTTTTATTTGATAAAATTTTTACCAAATGAAATAAATTCTGGTATTTAACTGTCTCTGTGGAGTGATGACTTTCTTCAGTTCTGTTACCTCAGTGTTGACAGGAACAGGCTTGAAGCATCGCTGCTTCCATAGCAGACTGTAATGGAGGGACCATGAAATAGGCAGGTTTCTTGTTTATACTGTCTATAAGTGTGCCAAAGTTCCACACATAGTATTTGAATTCTCTGTTAATCAGCTCCTTACGATTGACATACACACACTTTTGGTCTCATTGCTTTAGGCCTGTGAGAGCTGTCTTGAACCCACAGGGGGAGAAACTTGTAGTGGAGGAGGTCTGAGGAAGCCCTGCCTCCTAAAAGTTCTAGCATCAGAGGCTGGCCACCAGAACCTTTGCATTGAGCCTTTAGAAGACATTTAAGCTCCAAACTCTAATGCTTGCTTTTCATTCGTTCATTTCTCTCTCTTCCGACTTTTCCGTGAATGCTCTAACAGTGCAAATATTAAAAAAATAAGTTCTTGATTTTCTCTGTACGTTATGTATGTGCACACCGTGTCCATGGAAGCTAGACAAGGGTGTTGGATTCTGGAAAACTGAGTTGCAGATGCTTAAGAACACCACGTGGGTGCGGGAGAAAAAAGTCAGGTCCTCTGCAAGAGCAGCAAGCGCTTTTAACCTCTGAACTCTCTCTCTTCAGCCCCGGATTTCCTTCATGATTTGTACATACTAAATTAACTACCTCCATTACATGTTTGTTAATGTTCCAAGAATCTTTTCTGTATTGGTTTCATACATGATTTTTTGGCAGCATGTGTGCATCTGTAACATGAAATATATATATTTTCAGATAAGACAGATAAGAAAGTGGTGCGGGTCAAATGATTTGTTCTACGTGCTAGAACAAGTTAGTGACAAAAGCAAAGTGAGCTTGAGGTCTTAATACTTTAAAGTTTACTACTTTAAAATTACTATTACTGTTACCCAGTTTATCTTTCTAAGAGTACTGTGATGTGTTGCTACTATTCTTGTCATATAGAGAAAGAACTGATTTAAAATATTAAGTATCTAGCAAGGTCCCCAGCTCGTAATGTACATATATCTTTAGATTGTGTCCACTGAGTTATACTGCCTTTTCACATCTTTCTGATACCTGCACTTGACTTTTGCTTAAATCCACCAAATCTATGCTTTGTCTGTACTGGTCTCTTGGCACATAGGACTTCTATTGATGTTACCACTTGAGTCACTTGGTAAAGTCAGTGTTTGTGATCCTGCCCCGATTTGACTTGAGTGGGGATTTCCCGATTTTGGTGAAGTATATAGTAACAAGATTTGGTATTTAAGAATTTTGTTTTTGAGAAGACATAAATCCAGAAGCAGTCCACACATATAGTTCTGATCTGTTTGCCTGTAGCTATGTGAGGAAGTCTGTGTAAGAGCAGTCCCTTTGCTAGTCTGATTCATGTTTGAGAGAGAGGACTCCCATTTATGCCCCTTTTGAGTCACAGTCTCTAGTGTCCTTGACAGTGTGGATTCAAATTTGTAAAAGAGAAAAGTTAGCCAACTTTTATGTCAAGTTTGAGGGTATTTCTCTTAGCTTTTTGCTTTTTTTTTTTCTTTCCTATGCTGACCTAATCCACACTTGAGGGCAGACAAAGATGGGAGGGAGGTGATTGCATTTTCCTTCTGAAGCAGACTTGTTCTATTCTAATGGGTATTTCACTTTTGTGAGGTGATAGAAATTGGTGGAGTTACTTAAATCCTAAATTGTAAACAAGAGTTTTATCAGCTTGCCCAAATAAATACAGTGTAAGATTTTTGATTTTTATGTTTTATAAATACCAAGCTGGACCATCATTTTCATTAGCTGAAAAAGATAGCTACTTAAATATGTAAACAGTTATTTTATTTGAAGATTATTTGATATCAGTCTTTGGTGTAAGTTTTAGTCAGATGTTTTAATATTTCATATAATAATCCGTTGACTGGAGTTGGAACCATTGATAGTAGGAGATTGTAAGTCCTAAGGTGGAGAGAGTGGTAG